AAAAATGGCGGCTCCCCGCTTATGCTAATGAAGCCCGGGAAATTCAAATCCCGGGCTTCATTAGCAAGTTCGGTATGCATACATTACCCCGCTATTTCGAACTAGCGGGGTAGTGTAGACATACCCCTAGTACTTTTCTAGTTTCGATCCTAGAAAATGTCACTTTTTTTCTTCCATAATCATTATTTTCAACAGGAAAGCCTGACTTCTGTTTTTTGGAGCAAGACCCTGGAATCTGCCGTGGCTATATTTCCAGATATTTCTATAACAAAGAGTCACAGCAGTGTGAAATGTTCAAGTATGGTGGGTGCCTGGGAAATCAGAACAACTTTAAGGCCTTGGAGGAATGCCAGATTGCCTGCCAGGAGAATTGTAAGTGTGGTGGTGTTGTCCTCATTTTTATTTGAATTTTTTTTATGAAGAATGCACTGGTTTTAAGGCTGTTTGTGGGGGGGGGGGGTGGAGAAAGCGGTGATTATAATGCAAATTAAGGACCCGGATTCTGCAATAAGTGCTTCATCATGCAAATGCATTTCGCCATGAACAATTAAACATTTTTAAATAGCATAAAGGTAGCTATTTGACACTGCATAAGTCCAATGAATATTGCAGAATTCCTGCTTCTTTCAGTTGAATGCATGCATATATTTTTTTCTTAAAATTCCAGTAAAAGATTCATTAGTTGTTTGGTTTGCTTAAAAATGTATTGAGAACATTATATTGTTAACAATCTTTTAAATCAAAATTAATGTGCTTGATATTACATTCCTAGTGCATGTACAACTTTTATTGATCAAATGTCCATTCTCTGATGCCTTAAATAAGAGTAAGTTTTTAACAGGATATAAAATACGAAAGATTGTTCAAGAGAAAAAATAAAGGGCCATGTGAGATGAATTGGCTTAGCTCCACTGATTTCAGCAGAGCTTTTCCCAGCTGATGATCAGACCCCATAGGGTGTACTTTTGGGAAAAAGATTATTGGCCTTTTTTTGCTGTTGGATGCATCATACCTTTTTCCACTAAGACTCACCATTGTGGGCAACATTTTAAACTTTGTGGGGTTAGAAGATAATTTTTGTCTAGACACATCTGAAGAAAATATTGTCAAGAGCTGTTGAAGTAAAAAAGTCCAGGACTACTAATAATCAGATCGTGGCCATGCCAGAAGATGAGGCAATGTGATGTTTTTTGAAGAAAATGGCCTTTCTACATTGCAGTTACTCACACACTTTCTACAATCCAGGTGAAGAAAATATAATCACTCAACAACATAGTCTGATGTTTCTATAACACTTGTTTACATTCACATATATTTATCTTTAATCCAAACCACTGAATTAAGTTTTTATATAGTAAGCAATTGCAACTCCTAAGTAAAGACAAGATCCAACACCAGCTGTGTTTTGCCCAGTTTCCCTGCTCTGAGCCACTGTTTCACTTCCAAAGGTCAGTGCATCTTCACCACCAGTTCTCTCTTTTGTCCTCAGTCACAACTCTCCTTTGAGTATCAGTACAGGAGTTGGTTGGCAATTTTTCAATGAACTGATTTTCACTGAAAAATGCTCATTCATCAAAACTCAAACTTTTTGCAAATTCAACTCAAATTTTCCAACTCAAAAAAAAGTTTGAAAACATTATTGAAATGGTCAAAACATTCTATTTTGGCATTTTCTAAATGAAAAATGTTGGTTTTCTTAGTCAGAACATTTTTTTAAAATTTCTAATTGTTAAATAATTTCACTTGCAGTTCAAATGGAGGTGGGGGGGGAGGGTAATCAAAATCTGCATATAAGTTTTTCTTGACCGGAAATGAAAATATTTTTGTCTGTTCACAAATATTTTTGAGATGTCAACCTTTCATCCTGATTTGAAAACAGAAAAAAATTCAAGCTCTCAAAAATATTCACAGGTTGGAATGTAAAAACAAAACAGTTGTATCTTAGAGGTATAGGAGGACTGATCCCCTCTCAGCTCTTTGAATATTGGACCTGGGGCTCTAGATTACAAAATGGTCAATGGGAGTAACTGACTCCAAGTTATCCTTCCAATCTACTTCCCACTTTTTAGTGCCCCAGAATTCCTCCTGCTGCTAGGCCTCGATGTTCTCTCACTTCCTGCTCGGTCACCTCTCAATCTTCTTCCCAAGTCCTGAACAGTATGAGAAACCCCCCAAAATGTTCCTTTTTAAGATCTCTTAGTATTGACAAAATAAAACTTGTATGTATCCAGATCCGTTCCCAGTATTCCCTGCCAGTGTAACTCCCATGGTTCTTCTGTGCTACAAGTCTTAAAATGCCTCATTTCTGGACTGAATCTAAATAACGTCATATGAATGGTTTATAAGGATACATATTAGGAAGATGTTTTATATGGGCAGCAACTAGAATGTTGGCAATGTAACAACAGCAATAATTAATTTCTGTTCAGATCTTTTCAGCGAACAAAGTGGCCCCAGGCTAGCATTTGTACCAATACCACATGATAAAAATATGAGGGGGTATTGAAGGAAATTTGTTTTTATCATTAACAATCCCACACTTGGCATAAGTCAAATCAGTATTAGTCACTTGCTAGTTTCAAGGTCTAGGCTGTCCAGATATCCCCTTACACACTATTTCTCTATTTGCCTTTCAGTAAATACACTGCAATTTGACAATCATGAAGAACTCCCCATCATGAGGAACCATAGCTTTCCAGTTGCAAATCCCAGTGAGATTTCAAGGCTTTTTAGTAAGAATTTCCTTTTGAATTTGCATGGGTAAAAGAATTGGAGATGGCAATTACTCTAAAAGTGAGAGGAAAAGTAAATATCATCAATAGACAAACAGACATTAAGAAATACTAGGCTGCAAAACATGAATTATTGGTATGTTATTTGTGTGGCAGAGGCTGAACAGTTTTCTTCTATAATTATTATGTGACATATGTAATTACCATAGGAAAGATTAAATTCAGTTACTGTGTGGTGACAGAGCAGGAGGAAGTGGGTAAATGTGTGCTATCCTACCTTAGTTTTTCCCACATAGCAAGAGTTTCTTGGCTCCCCCTCTTCCAGCCCGTCCACCCCCATGCCAAAGGAGTTCTGTGCTGTTGATTTTCAGCTGGATTACAGAACCTTGAACCATCTGGATGGCTGAAGAGGGGGCATAACCGATTTCAAAATTTAGCCAATAAGATTCTTGAACCTGATTCTGAGGTACACTAATACCATTTTACACCCCTTTGGTTAGGAGGCATAAGTAACCTGGGTGTAAATTACATTTGTATCCATTTCAAGGCTGTCAGAGAGATGTAGAGTCAACTCGATGTAAATAAGCCTCAGGCCCTTCAACTTTGACATTAGCTCTGAACCAGTTTCTACAGTTTAGGACTATGCATTAGAGACTGACAGTTTGCCCAGGCTTTGAAAGGTAAATGTGGTTGAGGCATGTCAATTTGTGATCCACAGTTGTACAAGCGGGAACACGCAACAGCTGGGAAAAGACAGATCACTCTCACCAAATCTTTCTGATGGTCTTCTGCACTTGTACTCACATATTCTTCCTGAGATTGGGTGATGGCTAATGCATTCACTAATCCTTCAGTGTTTGACATTGGCTGTGGTATAATGGATGGGAAATGTTCCAGCACTCTTTTCTTAGTGAGATTTTGCTAATAAAGTTTGGATATGCATATGCTTGTGTTGTGTTACATTTCTTGCACGCATTGTGATGATGGACTGAGGATAAGCTTTTGTGATGCTATTTTTGTTATCAGTTTGCAGCATTTGATGCTGAAATAGCAACTTACTATTGCTGAAATAGTTACACTATTGGTAGACAGGACACTTTGGAAGACGCTTTTGCTGAAAAATCTTACATGAGTCTTTTTTTCCTAACTAGAAAGCATAAATACAGAGTCATAATAGCATGTGAATTCCTTGAGAGAGATGTACTAATTATGTGAGTGTGAAAATCTCACACACAACAATTATATGAAAATCAAAGGGCATAATCAGTTACAATTTTTTCTAAAGCATTTTCTATTTGTAAATAAATGGGCATGTTATGGACCCAAAATATCATTCTCTCCAAGGAATCACTGATAGGAAATGTATTGATATGCCATTGACATTTACACTGTTTCAAAGAAAGAAGTATGTTGCTGGTGGTAGAGCAGAAACTGCAGATGTACCAAATAAATAAGCTACTAACTGGATAGCAAACAAACAAAGAAATAAATAAAGCAAGCTACAAATTATACATCTATTGCTATGCTGAAAACTGTATTCTTCTATTTCTAGATGGAACTACCTTTCTTCCCTAAGTGCAAATTTGAAACTTCTTACAGTGTTGTTCACCTACAGTCATCCTGCTGAGAGAAAAAGATTGTTCTAGTCTGATGCTCCCTCTAGGTGTAAATCATAGGAATAACTCTTCTTTACACTGATGGAAAACTAGAAAAAGTGAACCGAGAAATCAAACTTTTCATTTTCTGATGGAACAGAGTTATCTGTGGATAGCAGGGTAGTTGACCAGCAATATTCTCCATGCTTCACCCTGCCATGTAAACATGGTACAGGAATGAAATTCAATTTTCAGCACAATCGGTATGGACATATATAGGTTGTCAATTTCTATTCTTGTTACTAAAAGATTCTCTCCAAACATGGCCGTACCCTCTACAGGGGTAAATTGGCATTTCTACCAGGTTATGCTCCCAGATCTGGTCTGTTGGAGGTAAGATTTGATCATCTGTTATCTTTGTAACTGCTCTGCAATTTAGTGAAGATTATTCTGTTTTCTTTTCCTTGCCAACTGGAAAGCTCAGACTCAAGTTTCAGTATTGCAAAAAAGTAGGCTTCAGGGAATGGTTCAGTGAGATCTCTTAAAAAATTAGATATATGAAAGACAACACAGCAAACATGCATAATGTCACACTTGGCTCTTGGAGCCTATCCGTGGATGGAGGCAGAATGAGTGAGTTGGCTGCTTTTTGCACAGCAGACCAAATAGCCTGTGTCCAGCCTTCAAGTATGGGACCGAGTCACTGTTTATCGCTGATTCTCTTTTCTTTCCTAATTTTCAGCAAATTTCCAAAATTTCCAGGAGGAGCACTCTAGCTTCTGGCTTTCTATCAGGCAGCTGAATGCCTGAGCTATCCAGGGGTCCAGCAGGCAGACTGCCAAGTTGTCAGGGAGCTGGGTAACCCAGATGCCAAGGTCTGGCTTTTGTCAAAAGGCTCAGTGGTACTGGCATGTTCTCATGGAACATTTTATGACATTGTGTCTGCAGTTTCTGATGGGAAGCTGTTGCATTGGAACACTTTCAGTCCTCTCTGCTCAGAAGCCTTCACGCTGTTCCTTATATGTAAAACAACACAATGGATTCTTTCATTGCCTATTCATGGCCACGTGGTACTGAGCTTCTGCACATTTTATCTGGCAAATAATAAACATAGGAAGTCCAAGTTTCTGAAATTCTCAATGGAAATCAAAAAGCTGCATAAAATAAGGGGTTTCGATGAACCGGAGAATGAGAATACAGATGGTAAAGCCAAAAGTTTGGAGAGTCATAGGGTCCAAGGCCAGAAGAGACCACCTAGACTGATGCCCCACATATCACATGCTGCTGACACCACCCACTACCTGTACACAAAACACAATAGAAAGAATGCCTTCACTTCAGTGGACTTTTAATTAAACTCGTAAGTGCCAACAGAATAATGTTGCAGTTCCATGCATACAATAATTAAATGTATCACAACCAACTAAAGCAGTCAGAGGTGTGTTTGCAGTATGTATACTCACAAGCACGCTAGCCAGCCAGCCTTCCAACATCAGCACGGACTTTATTGCAGGCTTGTGGCCCAAGTAAGTACCCGAGATCCTGGCCCAGTCTGTACCCATCATGCCGAAGCCTGGGCTTCACTGATATTCTTAATACAAATGATGCCTATTGCCTGTTCAACCAGACCAAGCCTAGTTAGGGAGTAAAGGTGGAGTGGGGAAGATGCACATACAGAGTGAAAAGGTGGATTACGTATGTCTAATACTTGTTTTAAAAATGCTTCAGCCTCACCTTAGTGTGGGGACTCTCCCAGGGGTCAGTATATTAAAATAAAAAACCACGAATCATCTTTACGATCGTGGAACAAGAAAACCGCAATAGCACTTACGTCTTTTGACTTTACACTTTCCCTTAATTACTGCCTTCCCGAAGAGTTGCCGTTGTACATAGACGAAGAGTACAGATTTTCAGCAGCTGGCTGCTTCTGTGAAGCTGCCCAAGATGCAGCAGGCATGCAGGCATCCTAGAGATTGTGACTATCCAGATAAATGGTGCTTGGGTTACTACAAATCTTTTATTCACAGAATTCCGGGGACCATGTGCTGTATAATTTTCTAAAAACAGAAAGGATCCTGCCTAATATTCAGATGTCACTTTAAAGAGTGGGTTACATATGCCGAGATTAGACAGCCCTCACTCAGCTGCAAATACTTCATGAGGGGCAAAAAATTTACATAGGAACCTCCATGAGATGGCAGTTGGAGATTTCCAGAGGAAGAGTCCATTATGGAAAAGAAGCATGGGCTTTACAGAGTGTTAGTTGTCTCCCAATCCTTGTGATAAACCCATCTTATTGGGGCACCGCTATGCATGATTATGGTATATTTCCAGTGGGACACTCCCCTTGCACTAACTCCCAGGGCACATTGGTTCTCAGAGTGGCAGCTCCCCATGGCAAGGAGTCTTTCTGGAAGATGAACAAAGCAGGTGAGTAATTTATATTCCAAACTTAAACCCTATGAAATAATGTAACACCCCAATATCATCTGCCCATTGTACTGATATGCCTTTCTTTTGGGTTGTTTCCAGGTACAGAAATTCCCAGGCTAGCATAGGAATATGCTGGTCTTTACTGCTTCCTGAAGCAATATGTGTGTTACAGTTGAGGTCAGGATAAAATTCACTCCTGTTAAAAACTTGCTCAGTTAGACCTGGTCTAAATAAGAAAGTTGCACCCGTTTATTTTTAAACATATGTGATTTTAAAACAATGGTTGGCCCCAAGTAGGCACTCTTGTATTTTGCTTTCAGTGGCTTGTTCAAGATTAATTTAAACCTGTTCCAGATTAACTGTAAAATAAACTGAAATAAACCTAGTTGAATCTGAGATAAGGTGTTCACACAGGAGTTTGCACTCCTGTAACTAAACAAGTTTAAAATCACAGCTCTGGTTAAACCAATGAAGTTTACAGAGGATATCCCTGTCACAGCAGAGCTATTCTCTCCAAGTTTGAACAGTATTGAATATGGGGAGGGGGTGGCCAGACAGAGTTTGGTGCAGATTCTCAGTAACTTATTGCTGGTACTTTTCTAATATTCATCTTAAACATTGTCATTGATCAATTGGATACAAAACAGTAGTCTATCCTTCAGAGTTTCAGCCCTCATATTTTCACTTACAGAAACACAGAAAGAAGAAGAGCAATAACAGGACAACAACCTGCTTTGGAACCTTAAAAATGTATCTGCACAATACTAACACCAGATTCCAGAAGCTTCTTTGTTGATTGATGTGCCTACTCTTCCTCAACTCCTTTGTTAGACTGCTAGTCACGCTGTCTGCTCATGTGTGGAATTTTCTTTATTGAGCCATTTTCTGACATTAGGTTTAGCCCTCCACATCAACACAGCCACAGCCCAATTCTGCAAGGTCCTGAGCACCTGGCGCCCTCATTGACTGGAAAGTGTACAGCTTCTCTAAGGAATGGTCACTTCATTAGGTTTAGTAACATTTTGGAGGTACTATTTCAATAGAGTTAAAGATTAAATTACTCCTCTTTTTTTGTACAAGATGTGTCAGTTAAATTGTCTCCCCAGAAATGTTAAATAGAACCTCTTTCAATAATACTAACTGGAAATATGAAGCAATTTGTACTACAGCATATGCTGTGGGCCAAGTCCTGCCTTCAAACGTAAGTGAGGACAGAATTTTCCCAACTGTGTTGTATGATCATGTAATGAAAGATACTAGTCAAATGTATACTGTGCATACAAGGAGCAGAAAGAAAGTTGCTGTAAAACATAACTATGCACCTCCTGGGCTTTGTGTGAATAAAAACCCTTATCTAATATTGCCTTAACTTTCTTTGTTTGGGTTTGCTTGTTTGTTTGATTCTCTTATAACCTTACCTTTGTATATATTTAACCTCTGCTATTTGTGACATTGACTATAAGAAATAAGAAAACAGCAACGAATGCTCACTGGTGCCTCTAACCATGTTTTCTTGATGTTCTTAGAACCTCCACACATCCCTTCTCTCTGCATGACACCTGCAGAACGGGGTCTTTGCAAAGCGGATGAGAAAAGATTCTTCTATAATTACTCAACAAGAAAATGCCATCCATTTAGCTACAGTGGGTGCGGTGGGAATGAAAATAATTTCACCTCCAAAAAATCATGTTTGAAGACCTGTAAAAAAGGTAGGAAATCCATAGCACAAAGGGGGTAAGTTTCTTCTGTCCAGAGCCTGAAAATGCCATGCAAATGTATCTGCTGAAATTTAACAATGACAGGATAATAAAAAAAGTGCTGTGATTTTAGAAAAGCATTACATATCAGCTGTTTTATAATCAATCAAAATATGCCTGTAGTCCAACAAATGTTTAATCAGCTGCTTCATCCATTAAATCCAGCAAATGATTATCTCCCCAGTACAGTATGTTGTAGTGTTACTTGGAATTACATGTGTGCATCGAGAAGAGATGTGACTTTCTTTTAGTAAAGTACGTAACCAAGTGCTTATCTTTGATTCTGTAAGTAGCTCTGTTCCATTGAAGTCAATAATACAACTCTCATAATGAAAACTCCTTATTGAATTAGGGCAGTGGTTCTCAAACAGCAGTCTGTGGCTCAAGCTCCCTCCCTCCCCCTCTTCCCTCCACCCACTTTCATCCTCTCTCCCGCTTCCTCCCCACAGCAAGGAGCTGGCACTCCAGCCCACCCCCCACCCTGCAAGGTTGGAGCATCCCTCTGCAGGAGGGAGCGGGGAAAGCCCCAAACCTCCCCCTGGATCCAGCTCGTGGGGAAGAAACGGGGCTAGAAGTGGTTCCGCATGCTGCCACTTCCATTCCCCCTCCCCTGGCTGGGGAAAGAGCAGTGCATCCGCACCATGCCAGGAGGCTTTCCCCACTGCTCCCATCGGCTGAAGTTGCAGACAGTGGGAGCAAAAGGAGGCCGTGCCTGGGACACAGTACCTGGGAGTGGCATGGGGTATGAAAGCAAATAAGTGCCCCCCATCTCCTCATGCGCAGAGCCCGTACCCCCACCTTGCTCCTGCACTTTCCCTTTGGCCAGACACCCCACTACCAGCCTGCTCCTGCACTGCCCCCCACTGAGACCCTGCACCCTCAGCCCATTCCTGCACCCTTCCTCCAGTCAGACACCCAACTCCCAACCGTCTCCTGCACCCTCCCTTTTAGCCACACACTGCACCTTCCCTTGCTCTTTGTCCTCTCCCCCAACCAAACACCCTACGCCCAGCCTGTTCCTGCACCCTACCTCCCACCCAGACCTAACACCCTCATCCCCTCTTGCACCCCATCTCCCACCCAGCTCCTGCATCCTCATCCCTATCCTGTTCACCGGCAGCTCTGTTCCACACACTGAACGCCTCATTTTTGGCCCCACCCCAGAGCCTGGGGGGGGGGGGTGGTTCACAAAATCCACTAACCCCAGAACCCCAGACAAGTAAATCCAACCTATGGGAAGCCCTGAACCTCAGTCTTCCCTGTGCCTCACCCTTGCCCCAGGCGGTGGAGCACCAGAGGAGTGAGGTGTCTCAGTTGGGCACAACATCAGTGAGGGTTGGGAGTTTTTGGAGGGGGATCTTTGCTTCTCACTTGTGTGGTCTCCAACTTATTTTTCTGCGGGTCACTGGCTCCCGACCCAAAAAAGGTTTCCCACCCCTGTCATAAATAAAGAAAACATTTAAACCTTTTGTGTTGGACATAAATTAATATTTTACTTTATTTAAAATGAAGTTTGATAAACTAACATGGGAAAGTTAAAACGCTTCATCTGCTTAATAATTTAAATTAATATTTCCTTTCTTGCTGGTTACATTTATCCATTCTCTCTAGCTGCAGCACTAGCAAAATGGCTCAGATGTAATTATGTAATTAATCATGAGTTTCCATTAGCAACTGGTGCTCCACAGGAAGGTTTGCATTGAGCCAGGTGTGTTACAGGCCAAAAAGTTTGAGAACCATTGAATTAGGGTCTTTAGGCCAGATTTTCAAAGGTGTTTTGGCACCTAAAAATGCACTTAGGTGCTTCTGAAAAGTCCACTACTGAAAAGTAACTACTGAACATCCCTCTAGATTCCTCATCTTTAAGAATCTAAATGCCTTTGAAAATATGTCAGTTATAAAATGCAGACATATTTAATTCCCATGTTGTGCCAACAAGCCTCAGCTACGCCATGTAGCAAGTGATCAATTTTGTAAAGTGAATGTGCTTTAGGTTTGCTCATTTGTCACTGAAGGAAAGAAATTATAATAGGAAATCTCAAGGCTCTTATCCAAGTTTATTCTGTCTGGGTATGTCTACACTACCCCGCTAGTTCGAACTAGCGGGTAATGTATGCATACCGCACTTGCTAATGAAGCCCAGGATTTGAATTTCCCGGGCTTCATTAGCATAAGCGGGGAGCCGCCATTTTTA